GTTGTGTAAATACTTTTGTTTGGGAAACAGGTTTGGAAACTCAGATGTCCGAGTTTTCCACGTGTCGTTAAACGCACCGTGCATTCGTGGATCGTGGACTTTTGAGAGTGCGGAAAAACTCAAAAATCTGTGTGTATTATTTGCATGTTTAAAGACCTTTGTCATTGTACATTATATTTACAAAACAAAATATACCCAAAATGTCAGAATAAAGTGACACAATCTTAAATTATCCCCCTCATATCTTTCATGTAAGACCTTTTAATATACCTTTCAAGAATAATACACTTATGTCTACAAACACTTACTTGAGTTACTTTTTTGTTTTATTAAAGCCATTTATATTCATGGTTACACAAGTGATGATAAAGATATAACCTTTAGTGAATAAATATTGATTAATAAATAAATACTGGATTCATAAAATAACTCCAAACATATCAGTTTCGTTAGGTAGGTAAAGCGAATTAAGCTCTTCCCTAACTTTAGGAACAAAAAGCTTTCTGAGGAGCATCAGTAATGAGCCCCCTACTAATGTTTGAAACATGTCCAAAATGCCTCTGTTGACGCGCCGTCCCCACAAATCCAGTTTGGCTTTAAATGCAGCTACTTTATCTGCCAACTTGAAGACAGTTGTCATTTTCCCCTGAAGTGACAGATTGAGTTCATTGAGCAGGCTGAATATGTCCACAAGTAAGCCAGTTTTGGCGCTCAAATGACCGAGACCGAGAGAATACGGTCATTTTTCAAAATAAAAGATCGTTCAGACTCAGATAAATAAATAAAACTGAAATAATTCATGATTTCTTGTACGGCCCGGTACCAATTAATCCACGGACCGGTACCGGTCCGCGGCCCGGGAGTTGGGGACCACTGTTTTAGACAATCCACGCATGCGTAGGTAACAATGTGTACGTACTTTCTAAAGAACTGCACACGAAAAATCGATTTTAAGCATTTGTAAAGTGCTTTATGTGCAGTTTGTACAGCATGCATTTGTGATCCTCATGACACACACACACAAATCGCTTGTTACAGAGAAAACGTTAAACACGCATTTGTAACATTTTTGATAGTATTTTATCTCCATAGGCGCACGTCGTTCTCTCTCTCTTTCTCTCACACACACACACACACACGCGCGCACCTCAGACCAGCCACGCTTCAGCTGCGGTCAGTAGTATGCTATAAGAAATGTATCGTATCATACTGGGTTTGATGTTGGATACGTGGTTTATCCAACCTTTGAAACAGATCACCAGATTCCCCACCAGATTCGTTGTGCATTGCATTACCGATGTTACACAAACGAGGTTTTACCTGATGATCCACTGTGGAAGCACAGAACCCTGCCAACTTTGTGCAGACAGCTCAGAGGGAAGATGCCATTTCCTAATTGGATGCACACGGTTTTTTCATTTCTGTTGTTTTATCTTTACAAGTTTATATTCTCACTGTTTTTTCTGTTTCCCGTTGCCTTACAAACACATCGAGAGATTGGGTACCAGAGTCAAATTCCTAACTGTATGTCTGTATTTCAGTTTTTTCTGCAGATGTCCAACAGCAGTTTATGATTAAAGAAGAGGTTTTCCCTGAGCAGCAGGGGAAGAGCCCCTGCCTGGACCAGGTGGACCCAGAGGGCCCACATATCAAAGAGGAAACACAAGATTTCAGGATTGGTCAGGAGGCCAGGAGTCAGCTGCAAGGACCGCATGAGGAGGATATCTCCAAGTTCCCATTCAGTCATGTCCATATGAAGACTGATGACAGTAAAGAGACAGCTGACTCCACACAGCTTCAGCAAAGACAAACTAAGGACAGCAGCACCTCAACAGAGCAGATGAAACCAGAAGCTGATGGAGAGGGCTGTGGAGGACCAGAACCAGACAAGACCTTGGGATCTGGTTTTAAATGTCCACCTGAATCTGATTACAAGATGTCACATTGTTCTGAAGAAGACACTGGAGACAGCTGTGATTGGAAGGAGCTCAGTAATCCTCAAACTGATGTAAATACTATGAAAAATGCAGTTACTCTAAATGATACAGGAGGTAATAGTGGCAGTAAATCATTTAGCTGCTCAAAATGTGGTAAAAGATTTGGCCAGAAGCACCACCTGCAGACACACATGAGATGCCATACTGGAGAGAAACCTTTCAGTTGTTCTCTTTGTGGTAAACGATTTACTCAGAAGGGAAACCTGACCCAGCACCTGACTATCCACACACGGGAGAAGCCATGTAATTGTCCTGTTTGTGGAGAAAGATTTGCACAGAAAGGCAATCTGACTCAACACATGACAGTCCACACAAGGGAGAAACTTTGTTGGTGAAGGGATTCTGAGAAAACAGAATTGCATCTATGGCAAAAGATTCAGTCACAGTTGCACATCAGAAACCTAAAGCCTAGGGTTGCCCCTTTCAGTGTGGAGAAAAAGGGCAGTGATAAAACAACAAATAAATAGCAGGGGGACAGGGTAGGTGTCTGAACTGACCAGAGCTAGCAGAAGAAGAGAAGAGCAAAGGCGATGAGGCCGCACAGAACCACAGCTGCTCTACAAGGCATTAGTGACACGCAGCCTGTCTTTATCCACCTAAACCTTTCAACTGTTCAGAACTGGTTTAGCATTTCCTCTATGGATATTAAATATATGCATTAAAAATGTGCACAGAAATACAGGATAAATCACATCCTCTATTAACAGAGAATTTGAATGATCTAAACAGGACATTCCCATATTACCTGGGGTGGGTGACAGCAGTAATGAAAGAAGCTACCGTGCTGTTGGTTGAGGTACAGTTTTCAGAAATTGTGACATAATGAACTTCTGACTTCACCATCCAACTCCAGGCATTCCAATGGCTATGAAACTTTAGGGCTGGGCACCAATGATATCGTGATAACTTTAGGCTAT